TTTTTTGGTTTTTCTCCGGTACCGGGAACCGAACTCACGACCTTGCGCTTGCCAGGCAGGCACTTTTGCCGCTGAGCTAAATCCCCAGCCCCAAGAACTGCTACTTATTGAGTGATTTCTTGTGTGTTTCTGGTTTTTGATTTTTCTTTTTCTGTATAGAAACACTTGTGCTTTGTTCTGCATGCATTTTCTTGTTTAATTTTTACAGTGCTCCTGTCACAAGGTAAAATACTTTACCCTCATTTTATAGATGAAGGCAAGGAAGTAAAATTAAATATTTTGCGCTTGTGGCCATAACCGCCATAGGGATTCATTTAGCAGGCTCAGGATCAGTACTCATTTCTGGTCCTTCCTCGCTACATATGCACATGACTTCAGGCATTAGCTCTACTGTGCTGATCTCTCCTCTGTATCCAGTGTCAACAGCTGCTGCAGCAGGCAAGGGTGGTGGGTAACCCTTGCCTGACCAAGTCCCGGGAGTTATGAACACATTTCCTGAAACCCTTTTGAACCCCATGGGCTCCTAATGCCTGAGTTCTGACTCTATGAAGACAGACCATGTAAAATGGAACTTTCTCCAGGAAGAGACTTGGCCTTGTGACTCACTGGGTAACCACTGCGGCTCAATGTCATTGTTACTGCTATGATCTGACATCATATATTTCTTACAAAATCTCAAATGGTGACAAGTGGTGTCACCAAGTAACATCACACCCACAAAGAGAAACATGCAGAAAGGACGGGAGTGTTCCACAATGAAAGAACATCTCAGGGAATCTGGAATAACCACTTTCTTCCATCTTCTGTGTGCCCTCTTTTCCACAATGTCTACCCATCTTGCAGGGAACATGACCACATTTCCACGGACTGTAGCATCCTACATATGTGTGAAAGCACAATCTACAAGGTCTCAGATGCTTCTAAAAATGCAATAGAACTTTATATTTATGCTTAAGCTTTTGATACTTGGAGGACTTATTACGGTTAGAAAGGCAGACTCCCAGAGAGGATTATGATATGTTCTTTAAAGTCATACTAGTGTATTGAATTCCCAGCGTTTCACTAAAACACATGACATCAGGCAAATTACTGCTGTCTATATCCTCAGTTTGTTTTGCAAAATAGCAATGAAAATAAATCTCCCTCCTCTCCCATAGTTGTTATAACATTCAATATAATTCAGGCTTTACGTACAAGGATTGCACAATAATGTTTATTTTTTTGTTAGTGTTTAGTGAATATTACTTATTATTACTTAGCGACACTTTGGGGACAAGGAAATTCTAATTATCCCAAATATTCCCCATTGGATTCATTTATTAAAAATGAAAGTTGTATTTAACAATGAGAAGATTCTAAGTGAATTTATACAAGGTTGTTAATCGAGTTATTTGCAAAATAATTCTCGCCCTTGGTGGTCCTGGTGGAAGTGGTACATGCTGACCTTTGGCTTTGGATTTGATGTGTGGTGTCACTTCAGTGGAGATCATCAGAAATCATCTCCTGTGACACCTGCACGTAGTGTGTCCCATGCTATCACTTGTGCTGCTGATACTCATGACCTGTGCCTATAGCACATCAGCACCCCTCTCTGCTACAGCTACCTCATACTGCGGCTCAAGAGCGCCCTCCACCGGGCCTGGTTGTTTTTTGTGTGTGCAGAGGTTTCCCGTCTGCTGTGATAGGAAGAGTGCCTCATAGCTCGAGGCACAAGAATGGTTTCCACAGTTTCCAGTTCCCAGTAGCATCTGCTGAGGGTCTATCAGCCTTGTAGAGCTCGGGTTCCTGAAGGCCACGTGTGCATTATTCTGTCAGTGTTGACTCTGCGACTTCAAGCTGTCCACAGATACTGTCCGCAGTGCCTGAGCCCCGTCCATCCATGGTCCGCGCATCCCTTCCAGGTGTCCAGGTAGTCACAGTCTTGGTGGGAACAGCTCCTGCTTCTGCTCAGGGCCTCAGTGACCATGGACCACGTCACCCTGGAAGCCTCTGACATACCTACCCTGATATGGCCTGAGCTATCCTTTGTTTTTCATAGCAGATATAATAAATTAAAAAGATCAACACAATTCTTTGGGCCACTTGGACTTCAATTCGATTAAACTGAATTGACAACTAGGGTACTGCAACTGGGTGCGAAGGGAGCATGCGCGCAGGAGGGTTACAGGGAGAGCCTGCGCATTGAGAACTAGTGCATGCGCTTTGGGAGGGGCCACTCTGGGCTGTTGGGAACCCCCTCCCACTTAACGGTGGCCCAAGGGCAGTTGACGAATCCTGAGGCTGTGCCCAGGAGAGACCCACAGCCTCAGAACAGGGACTGTGAGGAAATGGATGAGCTTAGGAGGAAGAAGCCCAGAGAGGCAAATCCAGAACTGTGCTGGGACCCCCGCGCCTGTGGAGCGCAAGTGGAAGCAGCTGCGCGTGGAGGAGGAGCTGGGTGCCCTTAATGGAGAAGGCGAGCTCCCAGGACTAAGCAGGACTCAACGCTGGGCCTTGGTGAGCAGTCTGGAGGGCGCCTCATGCTGGTGCCTCAGCTCCACCAGCTCAGCCCTGTCTGCCCCATCTCCGTGTAGGCCGCAGCGCCCCCTGCAGGCCCGGACTCAGCATGACTATGTCTAAAAAAGTTACCTTAGGGCTGCTAACCTGTTGTATTTTGGCACATTAGCAAAGGCAACATTGGCCACAAGTAACCTGACTGCTGCTACAGCTCCTGCCAACACAGGCAGCAACTCCAGCACTCTGAGTTCTCAGAGCACACACCCTCTACCTCCACAGTGAGCCTTGCATGGACTGAGAATCTGTAAGTACAAGGTCCCTCAAGTCAGGGGTCAAGAGCCCAGCCAGTGATTGGCACAGCAAGTAGGTTAACATCTTCCCCTTCAAATACCACCCCAGAGGCCACCGTGATGCCTTCCTTGGCTTCAGTGTCCTCCAGAGCAGTGATCATCGCCCAGGATCAAGCTGAAAAGTTAACTACCAGAAAAACATGAGCCCCTCCCATGGTCCAAGGCCTGAGGTGGAAACCACATCTCCCACAACACTCCCAAGCCCTATGTCATCTACCCATGGAGCTGGAGGCAAGTCATTCTGCAGACATCAGAGCATGTACAGACCAAAGCTGCACCTGAAATTGTCCTGCTGGGCCAAAACCTACAAGCTCTGGGTACCCTAAGATGGCAGCTGCAGATATGTGCAAGCCCAGCAGTAAAGACCAGTACCGAGTAGTCATCACTAAACTCTTAACTACAATTTAGGTGAGCAAAATGTTCCTGGTGGCAATGCCTATACTTCGGGCATGCTTTTTGATCACAGTTCTGCTTTTGTTTGCCCTGATATCCTGTGAGAGCTACAAGAAGAAGGAATACACACAAATGGACTATCAATGGCATGTACGCAGTCTCAGAGATGTGAGTGCAGGCTGAGGCTGGCCTGCACTCTGAGGCTGACACCCACAGCTCTAGGCAAGCCCAGACTCTTCCTCTACCTTCCATTTGCCTCTGAGGCCAAACCAAGTGCTTCTAGATCCATGTGGTACAATTTTGGAGACATGCCAGATGCTTAGATACATTTAACTGCTGTGAGATTAATTCCATGATCACGTAAGAGTTGCTACATTTTCATAATTAATTTTGTAGTTGATCATGAGACAAGACAGGGTGACTCTGCCATGGTGTGGGCTGGGGTGGGCAGAGGCCCTGGACCACATAATCCTTAGAATGTCAGACCTTAAGCAGTGTTATAGGAATGACTTCTCCATTTTAAGTCACGATTAGAAAACCTGGCCAGCCAGGTGGGGTGGCTCATACTAGGAAACCCAGCCCTCGGAAGTGTGAAACAAGAAAATCACTGAAGTTTCAGTCCAGCTTAGGACACATAGTGCATTCAGGGCCAGACAAAATTACATAGTGAAACCTATGTGAGAAAAGAAAAAAAATTAAGAATAAATGTTTGTAAAGCATTGAATCACCTTGAAACACTTTAGTCTGAAAATTTTGAAGTTAATAGAAAAATTAAAGCAATACTTCAGTGAAAATGATAAGACATACTTTGTGATCTCACTAATGCAGATAGAGGAGTAACTGGAAATTATGACCTTTCTCATCTTTTTAGAAAATGTATCCTCAAAGTTATAGCTTTTCTTTTTATACAACAGTAAAGAAGAATGAAATCATGTTAGCTTTAGGCAAAGTGGATGGGGCTAGAAACCATCAAGTTAAGTAAAACTGTCCAGACTGAGAAAGGTAAATATCATAGGTTTTCTCTTATTTGTGAAATAAACGTAAATATAGACACATGGAGAGGGATGGCAGGAAAGCAGGAAGTAGACTTTTTGGATCAGGAAGGGCTTCCCTGAGAGGGGAGAGGAGAAGGAAGAGGGGTGGATGGGATTGAAAGAGATCAAGGTAGGTTAAATGCATGTACAAGTGTGCCTAACAAACCACACCTTTCTGTCATATTAACAAGCACTAATAAAAACAACAAGCACTAATTAAAGCACTAATAAAACTTTAATAAAATATTTTAACATTTTATTTGTGCCTTTTTGTTTTTTATAAGGGAACTTCATTATTTTTACTTCAAAGCCATTGTTGAAGTACCTTCACTTTGGGAAGACCTGCGGACGATTATGCAGGACACAGTCACTGAATATCCTGTTGTACTTAATACAGTGAAACCAATCCATCTCTATCCCAAGGTAAGTGATACTTTGAGACAAATAATGATTGTAGTGTGAGTTTTTAATCAGAAGAAGGCACTAAATGATGATAATAGAAACAGGAGAACTTTAAGTTGGCTGATTAATGATGTTCTTATGGTTGAACATAGTTTTAACAGTTCCTTTCTTCATATATGAATGCCCAAATGACTATGTTTATGTGAACTTGGAGACTAAATGTTAATATGGAAGTAATGGCCAACATAATAAGCTGGCTGAATAAGTCACAAACACTGAAGAAGGTTCTCCAAGGGCTGTAGGTCTTGAATAACATGTGAATGGACACAGTGACCCAAATCAGCTGTACTGACAAATCTAGTGGTAGTCAGGGGTAGAGGTTTGATACACAGAAATGGTGAGAAAAGGAGAAAAAAATGATTTATTTAGTCACATACTGCTTGGCCTTAAAATGATTTTTCATGGAAATCTGCAAAGTCTAGTGATTTGAAAGTCACCAACAAAAGCTTAGTTAATTCAATTTGTAGACTGTTAAATACTGAATTTTTCATGGTAAACCCTAATTTTGAGCTTAAATTGAACTCAGAGTACAGGAGAGTCACTGAAAGATACTAATTTTGCAAATTAGTTACAAGTTCTGTATGATTTGTTTTCTCAGCCATAAAAATATTTTTATGTCAACTGCACTGCTGAATTTTGCCTGATAATTCTGAGAAATCATTATAAAACAAATAAGAAGGGCGATACACCCAATGTTATTTGTGGATATTGTAAGATTCTAGCATTGCATAATAATGAACAACTGGATCATATCAGGTAGACTAAACCTGCTCTTTGAGGTCAGAATCTTTATTTTCCTCATTCTAGAGCCTAGAAAACATAAAAAAGAATCCAGTGGCTACTGCAGTGGCTTTGTTTTGGGAATCACCAAATGATTGTGCAAAAAATGACAAACATGGAATTTTTAATTAATTTACAGATTCCATGAGATGATTTCAGTGTTTCAAAAATGCAAAGGGCCAAATATAATTAAAAATGTTTGAAAAAGGTAAAACTTGCTTTATCAATTACTGTTGTATCATAATGCTAATGTACATAAGACAGCCTGCTAGGCAGATCATGGGAATGGTGTGGAGGCGAGTGCGATAGTGGACATTTAAAGAAACATAGTGTGAGACAGATCAAATCCTGCACCCAGCTGTGTGAGGACAAACTTTTCAGTAAAAAGTGCCCGACGTATATACTGATGGTTACACTGGTCATCTCCGAATGTGGGTATTGGCTGTCGGAGGAGTACCCAGTGGGGACTCAGGGTGTGATCACTTCTGCAATATTGCAGTTATGATTACCTGAGAGGTCATGCCCTCTCTAAATTGCTTACACAGTTGTGCAGTATTGGATACATTACTGGTGTCTAGTCTTTAAGAAGAAAGTGTGCATGTAACCAGTAGGAGCTATAAAAATGTCACCAATAGCAAGATGATACTGAAAAGTAATGAATATGAAAAACAAAAGAATAGCAATTTGGGTCACTACCTTGAATGTATGCACTATTTCTGTCCTTGGGTGACCAACCAGAAACTGTTAATGTGCACATTTAGCTTGATTAAAATGAATCTGTATCTTTTCCCTTCCTCTGATAAATACACAGAAATGTGGAAAACTCTCTTAAAACACCTCTCATATCTTGCATGGTAGTGCCATAGTCAGGATTCCTGTTGTCTCTCCACAGCCCCCCTGTTGTTATCACTGACTTTGGCGGCTGCCAGATGTTTCAGTTTGTCCACATGTTCACAGTTCCTATGTGCACTTGCTTACCACACCTTCCTTCTTTCAGTGTGTTCCTTTCTGAGGTGCTATTTTTTCCCTTCTATTTTATTAGGAAATATTTTACATATATTATAAAATTTATATTATATCATATGTACAATTTATATGCTTGTACATTAGTTAAGATAGTTTTGTAGCTATCTTTTTCATTGAAAAGAATGCCTTGTGCTAATATTGTGTTAGAAAAAATATCACTCCTGCCTTATACTCTGATTAACTGTTATGAAGACAACAGTATGCAATGTGTGAACTATTGTAACTTTCCCACTAACCTGTTGTGAAACTCAGTTTCATTGTTTATCTTTTTTCTCTTTAAAGTAAGAACAACTTTTTAAAAGATGAAAACATTAACTACATGGGTACTTCTGTTTTTTTTTTTAATTTTATAAATGAAAGAAGGAAAATGTTAACAAACAGACAACCATTTACAAAATAGCAAAAGAACAATACAAACAATACAGACTTACAAACAAAGTGGTAGGAAATTAACAATGCTTGTTGTATTACGTACTGATATCTTCAAAGTGGTTTCTCAGGAAAACAGAGACATGCAATACTGATCAATCAAGGAATCATTAACTTTTTCTTTCAGCAAAGAAATAGAAGACAGTACTCCAACTATGTTAACTATCCTGTGTGTGTGTGTGTGTATATATATATATATACATATATATATACATTCCAAATTTCTCCTTTTTTCCTTCTCTTTTCCCACATCCCAGTTGTCCTTTACCCTTGAAC